TGCCCACTCAGCTTCTCTCCCTTACCAGTATTGCCCCTGAATGCTCTCCAGTAAACTTCCTGAAGACAAATCTTGGTTTCAGTGTCTGCTTCCAGGAGACCCCAGTCCAATACAAGATGTAAGTTAACGTTATTTCAACATGTGTAATTATATTCACCTGAAATATGACAGATAACTTTGTAAGGCTATTTTATATTTCTTTTTTGTACCAGACCTCTAGTAGTAAATCCTGTTACTATATGGCCTCTCAACTTTTGACAGCGCACTGTGGTGTCATTTTTCTATTATTGCCTCTTGACAGCATTACATCCTGAGGCATTTTGAAGCTTAGGTGTTTGGCCTTCTGCTCACGCACTAGAGAGCTTCCTGGGTGGTCTTCCAGTTTGTAGAGAGTTTGGGAACCTGCTGTTCTTCCACAGCTAGCTCTTAACCAGACTTATAGCATTAAAGGTCAGATAATGGTGTGGAACAAGAACTTACACAGCTCTTGGATAGATGTCACAAGTGATGCCAGGCAAACTCATCAAAGAACTATATTGGCTCATAATTCCCCATTCAAGAGAGCTTTTCCTATAGTTTAAGTTTTGGTAACTGTCTCTACAAAATGTTGGCAGTAAAAAAAATTCTTTTGGAACTCTGTTGACATTTTTATGACTTTACAAATACTATATATGAACAGTTATATTTATGTTGGTTAATTTATTTTTGTAGATGCAGAAATCATGTTTTACCCAATGTTAGTCTAGCTACAGATTTTATTTCCCAGTCCTACTAATAAGCAAATGCAAAAAATTATTCTGGAATGAACAACAGAAGTGGACCATTTATTACCATGTGCATTGTAACTACTCTGGTGTGAGCCAATGTCATGGACCCTTCAGATTCCTTTTGTTGTCTGTAGCTATTCACAACCTAGCAGCCATAATGACTTTTAAAAAAATGTAAATCTGATCCTGTTACTACTCGGCTCCAAACCCTCTAATGATTCCTCATTCCACTCTCTCTGCTTATCACTCTGATTTCATGTTTACTTCCTTTTCTTCTTTGTCACTCTGCATTAGTCACACTAACTTCCTTATGGTCCTGGAACATACTAGACACAGGAATGCCCAATTTAGTTACTGTAGTGGTTCCCTTTGCCTACAATGCTCTTCTCTAAGCTTCGTGCTTGGCTAGCCCTCTTCTAAATCTTTGTTCAAATAGTTAACTCCACTTTAGGTCTATCCTGAGCATTCACTTCATATGGTGCCTATCATACCCACGCCACTCCTTGATCTCAGGCCTGTTCTGACCTATTATGTTTTTTTCTTCTTTATATAACACTTACTACCTTATAAGTTACAGAGCTGCATTTACCATAAAAAGAAAAAGTAAAAGAATCTTAAGCTTCAGGATTCCTTCTCTGCCTAAGTCCCTTCCCAAAAGCCCAGAATAGGCCCTAGTCCTCACATGGATGTTCAAAAGGACACATATTCCTGTAAAATTTGCAAACCTCTTTATCTTTTAACTATAACTAGTTTAGATCATTATCCACTCCAGATTCCTCTCCTTCATGTTCTCCCTGTACCAGGTAATGTTGAAGTGGGTGCAGACATTTTTTTTTTTTGAGGTATGGCAAAGGGGAAATTGATTTAGAATCTGTTAGCTCACACTCCATCATTATAACAAAATGCCTAAGACAATTAACTTATAATGATAAAATGTTTATATTGGCTCACAGATTTTGAGGTTCCAGTCTATGATCAGTTAGCTCCATTGTTTTAAGCCTCTGTCAGGAGAGCATGTAATGGCATGAGTACATAGTGGAGGAAACATGTTCACATAATGAACCAGGAAGCAAAGAGAATTAGGAAGGGGTTGGGGTTCCATAATCTCCTTCAAGGGCATAACCCAAGTGACCTGAGAACTTCTTATTAGGCCCTATCTCTTAAAGGTTCTATGAGTTTTCAGTAGCACCACCTTGGGAACCAAGTCTTTAACACATAGGTCTTTGGGGGACATTCAGGGTCGAAACTATCACTGGGATGTAGCTCAGTGGTAAAGTACTTGCCTAGCATGCATGAAGTCCTTTGTTCAATCTCTAGTACCACAAAAAGAAAGAAAGAAAAAAGATTCAAACTATATAACTACATTTAGTTTGGGTGTAGGTGAATGTAATTAGTAGTTTCAGTAACTAATCTATATGGTTTTGCTAGTACTAGCCTTTTTGGTGTGGGAAAAGCTTCCAGGGAGAAGGCTATTGCCTGTTGGCCATATAGGATCTTGCTTTCTTTCTGTGTACTAGAGTGCCTGACGATGAAGGTATGTGGATAGATGGTGAAGGATAAACATAACATGAAATTTGTAGGGCCAACTAATTTGCAGAAAAATCTTCCACATTTTATAGCTTATATTTTAAAGAAACTTGATGAAGATTTTCCCAAATTTGAGATCAATAGTCTTCTCCCTGGTGCCTACCATGTATCCACTACTGTTCAGGTACTTAAATGTTTATTTAAACATTCACTGAATGAATTAATGAATTTACAACATTATAAATAAATGTTTGGTGTCAATCTAATTTAATCCTGCTCAAGAAAAGTCAATATCAACATGAAGGAAAGTGAAAAGACTGTGGTGCATGGAAAACATTCCTCTTAGAACTCTGTACTTTGTGTAACTAGAGCCATAGAAGTAAATTCCTTTTCCTAGGTGTTTCTTCAGCAGTTATCAACTACCATGTTTGTCAAGAGGATCTGGATCAATATTTTTTAGGTTCTATTTTCTTACTTCTTGATCCCAGGGCTAGCCCCAGCTGCTTTTTGCATCATCCTACACCAAGGGATTAGGATTTAGTTTTAGGAAGGTGGAGGCATCAGCAAGCCACGGGGAAGCAAATACAGTAGCCAGTTGTTCTTAAGCCAATGATGATACAATAGGAAAACAAAGGTAAACAATTTTTAAAATATTTTTGTATATTTAGTTAACCTTAGAAATTCTATTTAGAGCGTTATCTTTGTTTAAACATTGGGCATTAGAAATAAAGATACTCCTCATTGCAAAGGAAGGACAAATATATACATATAGGACTTACATATTTCTTAAAACGGGCATATTACCATAGAGCTTTAGAGCAAAGCCACATCTTAAGAACGGAATCTCATAGAATATCTGTTTGGAGAATTTTTATTTTTGTAGACATACATTCATTAAATGAATGACTCACAGAGGGCAGCCTTCTTTGACTTAAACATCTAAATGTTTGATTTACCATTAAAACACCTCTTTTTTTAAATGCCCTTATTGCTATTTTGGCAGTCATAGCCAATTTTTTGTTGTTGTTCATTTGTTTTTTCCTCTGGAGAGCACATTTTTAGACATCCTAGGGAAGTCTTATAATCGGTAGTGAACAAAGCAGTGAGCTAATGAAGGTGTTAGGTGTTGACCAAATCCTCTCTGCTTTCTCAGTTTGGCACTTAGCACTCACACTGCTATTTCCTAGAATATAATTCGCTGCACTCTGACTCCTCGTCTAGCAAGTCTCAACAAAGGAACATCAATAAGTTCTTCAAACTGAGCTTTTGTCAACACTAATCTTGCAGAACGTATGCCACTAGAGTGTGACCTTCATTGTGAATTTCTCTCTTAAGAGTTTTGTGCTAGATTAGAGCCCTGAAGAGATTATTGGGACAGTAAATTTCCCGCCTTCCCCCCTTTATTTCCCATAAGTTTGCAGGCAGCAATTGGGTTCCGAAGGTTCTTTGCAAAAGTAGATTTCTTGCTCAGAATTGTATCTTTATTCAGAAAAGTACTTTTTAAAATTTCCATTTGGAAAAGACAGTGAAGGGAGTGGAATGTCAATGCACCAAGTCTTGGAGCTGCAGTGTCTCCCCTGCACAATCAGTAGCTCAAGGGAAAGCACTGAGTGGAATGGAGCCTACAGTCTTAACATTATTACTCTTTTTGTTTTTATTTTATTTTATTTTATGAAATAAAGGCTGAGGAAGTGCTATTGAAACACATTCTTCCCTAAACAGGGTTAAAGCTAATGAAATACATTTTGAACGGTTGCAACAGCATTAAAGACAGTTTTGTTTTTAAATGAGTTATTCTCCCAAATTGCCTTCTCTGGAAATAGCTCTAGAAATACATAAAATGGCTACACTGATGTGATGGGCATATCAGAAAGGGGAAAAAAAAAGAACTTTTGAGGGAAAAAAAATAAAAAGCAAGGATTTAAATTATTCATCAGGCCTCCCTCTGGCCTGCTTCCTTTCTTGCCTAGTGAATGGCACACCCTGCATGGATCCTCAGTATGGTCAGGGGGTAGTGTTCACTCTGGTGGAGCTGTCCTGTCGGGACTGGTTTATTCGGATCCTTTTGACCAGAACATTTGCCGGTATTTTTTTCCCCCAGCGAGTGTTGCATAATGCAATGTTATGAATTTTATCTCTGTTCTCAACAACTTGTTGGATATATGCACTTAAAATGAATGACTTTCATCGTACTGTTATGCAATAAATCTGTCAAGTTGAATTTTAGTAAGCCAAAAGATGAGCTGAACACTGATCTATTTTAAATATAAATCAAACATTCCTCATGTAATTTGTGGTTTTATGTTTTTCAAGAAGAACGAAATGAGCTAGTTAATTGGTTTGCAAGCTGACCTTTCGTTGATGCTTCCTCCATTTAAGAGTTTTTTTGTGGCCAGTGATTCTTCCTTCAGTGTCCAAGTTTTCTTCTATTTTAAGATTATAGGGAATGTGAATCAGATTGGACACTGAAACCAAAGGGAGAAGCAGGGTCTTTACTTTATACTATTCTTTTGATTACTATTGATTTCCATTGCCAATTATTCACTTGCACATGTTCATATAGTTGGTTCTTGCTTTGCACATCTCCCACAAAGTTCAGTTGATACAGTTCTGTGCAAAGACTACCAGCATTTATGTATGTATGTACAAATAAATGTATCTGTGTGCATGTGTTTATTGTAATTTTTCACTGTGTTTATTTTTCAGGTGTTTGAAAATGGTAAAGACACTGGAGAAACCTCTGTTTATATCAGTAAAAAAGATTTAGGCTCTAATAGAACAACTCAGACTGACAATATGTTGGAAAGAGTGAGTTTATTATTTATTAATGACTCTAAGTGTTTCCAAGTTACTTACAATTAATTTAGACAATTACATCTTAAAGTTGGGTACAAAAGATCAATCATTTGCCCCTCTATGAGCTGAGCTTCAGTAGTGTATTAACTCCTGAACCTTTACCTAAACACCATCTTAACCTTCATCATGTTTATATTTGAAAAATCTGTTCACAGCAGGACATGGTTTTGATACACCAGGATTGCTCTCTGTTTTTACACTTTAACAAGAAAGGCATGATATTGAGTGGAAGGTATGCTCTGAGCCTAGGATGTTGCTGCGCCCTAAACCTGAGTGACTAACATACAACTCTGGTCTTCTCCCATGCTCCAGCTGGTTTATCTTAGGCACTTTTACCTTTGCTTATTTTCCAGGCAATTGGGATGTTTCTCAGGCAGAACCAACATGTTCAGGGTCATTATTTTAGGTCTTTGTCTTGCATAAAAGGACACGGAACTCCCTGTTGTTTACAAATTGGGGTTATGCGCCCGAGTGCACACCAGTGTTTTGGGCTGTATTGCCTGGCCTTTGTTTAGAAGCTTGTTCCTTTCTCCCCATTTCAGTTTAGCACCTCCAGACTTACCTCTCCCTGGTGGAATCCATTACCTGTCCTTTACAGCCAATCACAAAAGTTGCATATGCATTGGGAGTCTGTCATTGGATCATTAGCTAGACCCAGAAGAAATAGGGAAATGCTACCTTGATTGATTAGAGAAAGATCTGGAGCCTTGATGTTTCTTTTTACCATCACACCACTGAATATGCAAATCATCATGATAAAAAAAGCCTTCCCAGAATTTTTCACTTGACTCCCTGACTTTTCACATTAGAATATTTTATTTTTTCATTCATGCTAAAATTGAAAATGATATTTTATCATAGAAGGAAGATTTATTGTATAGAAATTTCTTGTATTGACTTATAGCACATTGAGATTATGCTTTGCTTGTATATGCAAGTAAATTTGGGGGAAAATTTTAATTAGAGGCATTATAAATCTCTTTGTTAGAGACAGCCCTTGCATGAGACACCCAAGCATGACTGTTCCCTTGTATGGACACTCTTCTCAATCACTAGCCTAAGATGTTCCACACTCTTCTCAGATCCCTGAACAAATTCTTATCCTATAAAGGCCAGGTGATGATAGCTTTAAAGATAAATGGGTGAAGATTATCACAATTTTTGGTTTCCACAGCCCAGCCCTAACCAATGATCTATAGATGAAAGGCACTGAGGCTCTTACCTCCTGTAGGCTGTCGAATGCTCATCTTTGAACACCTAAAGTGCAGTCTGTCACCAAGTTGAGAAAATAGAGATTGCAATGCAACTCCTGTGAAAGTGAATTTGGTTAAGTGGTCAGGTGCTCGCATCCCATGTCTACCATATACCCCTGTCCTTTGTGCTCATTTTTTTCTTTGCTGGATCAGGTATTAAATCTTTTGTATCTTCTCCCTTTGCAAAAAGGTGATGCCCAAGAAGCAAAATCTCTGTGATTTAAAGAATGATCAGCATTACATGTTTTGTGAAATAATAGCAAAGCAACAAAACTAAGCTTCAGGGTTGAGATCACACAGAAATAAATGCAGGGCTTTGGAAATACAACCCATAGATTTCAAAACACATTTGTGGTTCCAGCGACAAAAACAAAACAAGGCAAGTTTTTATTAATGCCTTTGCATCACCATTTTTAATCAAAAATTTCATCTCTGCTGGATCAGAAACGTTAACTTTAATGAAATGAAAAAAAAATGTGTCATAATTTTCAGCCTTTCTGATGCTTAAGACTAAAAAATGTGGTCAGTATAGAGCTGATAAAACACTGAAATTAGAGATACTATTATTTATCTTGAGGGCAAAGCCTAATTCTTAGACATTACATATTTGATGACAAAATAAATTTGTTTAGTAAGTCAAGAGTTTATAGAAAATTAGTGAGACACCTGAGGTGTACAGGGGGACTGCAATTTTCCCTTCTTTTCCTCTGAACCTTAGCATTTAGCATTTCTTAATATATTTCAATGGAAATTAATAGAAGGATTTTTTTTTTTTAAAAAAAGGACTCTAAATTGCAGCTAGACAAGCAAAGACCACAACTATATCCATATCGCTGCAGGAATTATAGAGTAACAAGAAATTGAGAGACACAAGAACTGACAAGGAAAAGAAGTAAAGGAAGCCTGTGACAGAAGGCTGGGGGGAGAACAGAGTGATGGATAGTGTGGGGTGCAGAGCAGAAAGAGCAGAAGCCGGAACACTGAAACAAAGGTGATGGATGATAATGAAAAGATGTCTTTTAAAACACCATATGCAACACAGTTCAGTTAGGTTTATTTTATGTTTGAAATGTGCCTTCAATTAGAAATCTCTTGATAATTTAGAGTCTCTAAATGTAAGATAGAAGCAAACACTGGCAATGCTATGATTTCAAATATTAAATGACAGCATTTCATACTTTACACTTCAGTGATATCTTATTCACAACTTGAAAACATCCATTATTGAAGATGTTCATAAGCATTTGCAGGGCTCATAATTAAAATGCTTCCAGAAAGAGTTCTCAGTGAATCAACTTAGACTGAAAATCATATTTATTTTTGCAATCCTCTAAGTGGCAAATTTTTCTACCATTAGTTACCTGAGGTTAGTTGGGGACAGGGAGATTGCCTATTGTAAAACTTGACCCTGGTCTTTGAAGGCCCCTAACAAAATGCATAGCTCAGACAAGAAAAGCATCACCCTTATCAAAGAGGACCGTTGCCTTGTGTAGAAGCTAAATGCTCTTTCTGCGAGACTGTCACATCTGCTTTCATTCCCTGTGCCAAAGGGTCAGAGCTCAATCACAAGCCTGTGGCACCCCCTGCTGGTTAAAAGCCCATGCTCATTTTGTTACTTTACACTGAGCTAAACATTGCCAACATTTCACACTTCTTTTAACATTCTATATGCATTTAATTATCATTTGTTTGGACTTCATTTGTTACAGAGTGGAGACAGTTTATTACAGATGTTCACATTTTAGGTTATGTCTTCATCCCCCTTCCCCACCCTCTACCAGTTACTTCTCAAGATTCATCAGAGGCTTCGAGGTTCTTCCATCAACACACCAGGCCTCAATTTTTCTTCAGCCCGGCTTTTCGATGAGCATGGTCAAGAAATTAAGAATCCACTTTTGCTGAAGAATGAGCAAAAAATTTGGGTCTCTTATGGTAAAGCATTCAGGTAGGAATGAGGTGTTTGTTCTGTCTGTCCTCAGTCTTTCCAGGGGTGAGCTAATTAAGAGGAGTTGAGAAGCCAAGTGGCACATTTTATAAAATTAAAAAAAAAAATTGAATTCCAATAAAATTTCAGGGACATTTTTGTGAGACAGCATTGTTTATGGAATATGACCCCTTTCTCTCTCTCTCTCTCTCTCTGACTTTCTGTCTTAATGCCTTGTCATAGTTCTTGAAGTCTGCCTGTCAGCACAGCAAGAGGGATTTGTTCATGTCTGAGTAGTCACCTTAATGATAGCAGATGGAAACGCCACGGGGGGCCCAAGCCCATCACACTGTCATTGTCGCACACTGCCCTGACCTGCTTCCACTCCTCTATTTTTTTGTCCCTTTTTAAAGGAGAAATGGATGGTAATTGAAAAGGATCTTAAGCAAGATTTATGAAGCTGTAGACAACATGATTCCCCACTATCTCTCTATGTTTTCACAAATAAAGTCTTAACCTTTTAAGCACCAATGACAGGACATTGGTAAAGCTTGTAAGCCCTAGCCTATCAAAGTTATATTTCTCAAAAGCTCCTTACATTATCCCACAATAATTACTGGTTATTGCTAAGCATTGTGTAAATTTATATAGATTGGTAAATTCCTGCATAAAATTATCTGTGTTTCCAAAGAAAACGACTATAGTATACAGGCACCGATGAGCTGGGCTGTTGTGTTGAATATCTTGGAAATTTATGCATATTTTGACAGGACACATCCAGATGAACTCCGAAACTGCTTGTCAGAAAACTTAAACACACTTTTCTGCCTATTTTTAATTTTCTGAGCTCATTATTTAGCTGTAAAACAGAAAAGGGTAATATAGTTTTGTATATGTGGTATAATTGATCATGTTAATTATAAAGAAAATCAGAGACAGGCTTAATTCTTAGAAGACAAGGGACTGATTGAATTTTCTATCTTTTCAAATAGTCAAAATTTCAAATATTGAAACAAAACTCCAGTCGGAAATTGTTGACAGTATTAGAAGAGTTGATAGAATAAGTCATGGTATCATTTTAACAAAATTTTGTTCCATCTGTCCCAGAAGAATAGAATAAAAATATTTTATGATTTCTTACTCTGTGCAGTTTATAGAATTAAAAATATCAATAAAAATGTTAAGTTTTTTCTCACAAGCAAATAATATAATGAAATTTTGAAAATAATTGTTTTTAAAAAATGATGAAAATAGTAATGAATTTTAAAGTGGCAAGAATTCTTGAATAATTTAGTAAGCCTTTCCAATTACAAGGAAAGGCTTTAATAAAGTGTGTCATTATTATTTCTTCTGAATGTCATTGTCAAAGTGAATGATTTTGATGTTTTTAATGATGTTTGCTATATTATTTTTCAAATATCAAACACTGTTCTTGATGGATCGGATTGTATTTGTGGAATGACTAATAAAATGTCAATAATCTGGAATATCCAAAAATTAATTAAGGAGGAGTGTAACTCCAGAAATTTAAAAATGCATATATTTATTTGTATTTATTATTATTTTAATAGGATAATGCATTTTTTTCTAGTTTGGAAAATAAAGCACTAGTCTGCTGAACATACCAGGTAACCTTAGCATTTTGCCACCCTTGGAAATTTAAAAATTTGTATGTCTAAAAAGTTATTGCCATCTGTTTTAAAATATATTGAGAAAATGTGCAATATGTACTGCCTAAATAGTACTCATATTTAAAAAGTAATTCTAATGTGTCTGAATTATGTTGATAATGGGGGGTATCAAACTACTCATTTGTAGAAGATGATTTTGTCCAATATTTGAGTCTTTTAATTATTACCTCCCCCCCAATTTTTATTTTGAAAAATTTGAAATCTACAGAGAGGTTGAAAGAATAGTATAATGAATATATATTCTTCACATAAATTCACCAATTGACAAAATATTCCATATTTGTTTTGCCTTTCTTATATCTCTTTTTTTCTCTTGATTAGTTTGAAAGTAATTCCAGACAACTAAGACAATTTCTCTCCTAAACTCTTCAGTTATCTGAAGCATTTAGGAGTAAAATTTTCACATTATAATATTTCACAGTCAATAATAATGTGTCATCTTCTGACATGCAATCTATATTTTAAGCTACTCAAAATGTGCTTTATAGATTTTTATAATCTGGTATCCATGTAGGCTTCCTGTATTACATTTAGTTGTTTTCTGTAGTTCTTTTTAATCTAAAAATATTCCTTCATCTTTGTTTTGCTTTCCATAATTTTTTTTTTTCAAGAATCAGGTACTTTTCTAGTAGGCTATACACAACCTATATTTGTCTCAGTGTCTTTTCATGTATATTCAGTTTCAATATTTCTGGCAATAAGACTGCACAGGTGAAGTGCTTGAATGCTTTAATTCTAGAGTTAAATAACAAATCTTTGTTACCAATTTAAAGAAAAATGGTTCAATGGACATAGTGATCATTCTTTTTATGTAAGATGTTTTCATTTTAATTTTTATTCCCAAATTCACTTGAGACAGAATGTCTTAAACAATGTAATATGATAATCAAATCAGTAAAATACCTAGTAAGTCTGCAAAAAATAGTGGTCAGATATTAAGAATTCATTTACTAACAGTTGCAGATATCACTATGGATGCATTGCAGTTATATGTGAAAAAGGAATAACATATAAATAAGTGTTTTCTCAGCTAAATGCTTTTATTATTGCAATTATTTTAAAAATTATATATGTCATAACTATTCTTGGCGTTTTATAAATGAGCTAAATAAACTAAAAGTACATTTCAGGTGTCAGGATACCAACAATAATGCTATATAATGGGAAATTTCATTTATATCTAGATTTTCTTAGACACTGATATTGTATACTTTTATTATTTATTTGTGCTCAAATTTCAGTGAATGTATAATTAGCAGATAGCTTTGACAGATTTTTCATTTTTCAGATCTCCACTAAACCCTGTTTTGGGTTTGACCTTTGACCGAGTGACTGCATTTGCCAGAGGTGGCATCACAGTTGCCTATAAGACCTTTTTGGATCCTAATGCTGTTCTGCTACCTGGATGTGACAAGTAAATTAACATATATTTGATTAAAGTAATCTATCACCTAATTCACGTTTTCCCTGAGTGAGAAATTTGAAACACTAGAAGGTGTTCTTTGAATTATCTTAGCAATTATTTATTTTATTGAGTTACTCCATGGCATAATGAGGTTGTGCCAAAAGACATATTAACTTTCCTTAGTTTTAAAAAAATCATACAGGGCAATGAGCAGGCTATACTTTCTGTTTTACATAAGTAACAATTTTGATTGAAATGTAAAATCTATTTTTAATGCTTATTTCTAAAATTTTAAGTGGGGTCATTAAAATAAAAAAATTATAAGTTCTCCATATGAGTGTTCATATTTAAGCATTTCATATGATGATGATAAATTTAAAACAAAAGTAACATGCTGGAGGACTGGTGAGACAGTGAAGAGGACAGAAGAAGTTCGAGGGTCTGGGAGCCTAGCCTCATCTCTGTTTGATTGTCCATGAACATGATTGTCTGTTTCTTTCCTGTAAATAATAAAAGCTGGTGTTTACTGAGTGTTGACTATAGGACAGGCATAGTTATAAATGAATTGGGTAAGAATGTATTTAATCTTCAAAACAATGATTTAAATCCCATGATCCCCCATAACCCTACTATTACTACATTCTTCAGAGACAGAAACCAAGGCAAAAAGAAGTAATTTGCCAAAAGTCATACAGCCTATACATGGTAGTGCCAGGATTCTGATCTAGGTCAACTGTTTTTCAGGAACTGAGTGCCTAACTACTACACAGCCCTGTCCAGTAGAATTTTCTATGGTGATGGAAACACACACAATGACTATTGAACACTTGAAATGTGACTCAAGTGATCAAGGAACTGAACTTTAAATTTTATTTAAATTAAATTTAATATGAATATATAACTAATGACTAGTATACTGGATATAGTGACATGATACTGATACTAGGTTTAGATTAGGTGATTTATCTATAAGGCCTCCATCTAGCTTTAACATTGCCTAATTTAACAAACTACACTTCTCCTTAATATATGCTTGAAAAGGCTGAATAGAGGGTATACCCAGAGAAGTAAAGCACTGATGTGGTTCACTCAGCCTAGCTAGTGACAACGTATTGCTAAATACATGTTGAAGGCTGTACTCACTGGTCTTCCGTGTAGTTATTTAAACAAAGCTATATTACCCAATGACTCCTTGTACTTTCCAGGCAAGAATGACTCTGTTTCTTTTGATTCTTTTTCTTTATAGATAGAAAATAATTCATTGGCAATCTTTTTTATAGACATTTTTTCATTGATAAGAAAATTTATTTTGTGTGCAATAATCTTTACCCAAGTTGTTAAGTCTGCCTAGATACTTTACCTTAAAGTTTTAGCTAGGAGTTTATATTTTTATTTCATGCAGTCCTTTTTAAAAATTTACTTCCCCAGGTTCTTTGAATACTGCTTTGCTGAATTGCTGAGTTGACTCAAATTAGGTCTAAGTCTCTAAGTATAATGTAAGCTGCCTTTATGGAATCTAAAATAATTTGTTAGACAATATCATTTTTACATTTCATTTGAATTTTCTTTCTATGCTCAATAATGAGTCACTTGAAATCAGAATTTTTTTGGGGGGTGGAGTACCAGGGATTGAACCCAGGAGCACTTAACCACTGAACCACATCCCCGGCTGCTTTTTAATATTTTATTTAGAGACAGGGTCTCAATGAGTTTCTTAGGGCTTTGCTAAGTTTCTGAGGCTGGTTTGAACTCATGATTCTTCTGCTTCAGCCTCCAAATCTGCTGGGATTACAAGGATCACTTGAAATATTAATAACCAAGTTCTTCTCATATTTCTCAGAGAATTGATAAAAATTGCTATTACCAGTCGCAGGACTGTTTTCTGTTGAATAGCATGCTCTATGTTGTATCCTAACACATCAGTGTTGAGCCAGTGATTTGTTGTTGCTGTTAGGATAACAATTGGGGGACTTTTAAGATAAGTTATTTAGCTAAATTAAGAATGACATTCAACCTCTCTAGTTTGTGGTTTTTCCATATACCCACTAGATTGCAATGTCTCCTATGGCTCTCTTGAAAATACCAAACTAGTATTTTTGGAACAACCATTGTAAGCATAAAATATCCTTTATTATTCATAGTCTGTGTATTTGGAATATAAATGTAACAATGAAGATGTTCTCCACAAGTGATTTTATAAGATTAAAAATCCTTTTTTAAAATTAATAATTAATTAGTCAATATCATAAACATTTGCAAGATAAAATTTTAAGGCTTCTCTTTTTTAATTATAAATACCAATATACTTTATAAATTTCTGTTTTAAAAGACTATGAACTGTACATTGTTTTTTTCTCTTACTAGTAGAGAATAAGATGTATAAATTATACTAGAAAAGAATAAAACAGTTTAGTGCTTTTTATTCTGACAAAAATAATTAAATATTTTACTTTTGTTAGTTGGGACATTTGTGAGGGATTTCCAATTAATTTCGACTGCACCAGTCAACAGATACCTGATCAATTTGAAAAGATGGACTTGGAGAGCCATTTCCTACAGAATAAGGTCAGATTTTATTTGTTATACTTAATAACTACATTCTACGGTGAGGGTACTCAGTCAATATACTATGGTGACTGAGTGAATACTTCTGAACATGCATTAATATAAATTATTTTTATAAGTGTTGGGACAAGTTTTGTTTTTCTTCTTGTTAATCAAGTCGTTCAAAACTGAAATAATATATAGCATTCTTACTTGAAAAAAATCTACTAGAATTATGTCATTTAAGTCCTATTGCTTGGCATATTTTCTTTGTACTAATTGTATTAATTAAGTTGGAGTTGTTGAAGAAAGTCTTTAAGATGGCTGTTATCTCTTTGTACTTTAGGATCTGATCTATTTGTTCTATAGGTCAATGAATTCTTTAAAGGAATATTTAGTTTATTGGCAATCCAATCCAGAATGTCTGTTTAAAAATTTAGAAATTTATCCTTTGGCTAAGATTTTTTTTTCAAAAGAAACTATAAAAGACATTTTAAATATGTCTCCAAAGAAGGAATGAATAATTGTTTTGTTTTTCTTGGCTGAAAAACTCTGTGTGAGATTGTTGTTCATTTAGGCTGCATAAGCTTTAGTTTTTAAATACATGAAATCAAAGCAAAAGGGCACCCACACCCACAGACATAGAGATGCCCAGAGAAAGGGGGACTTCTGTCAACCCGTCTGGTTCTTTATTTCCAAAATAAAATGCAAGATTCATTGTGTCCACCTGATTTTTAAAAATTTCTCCATGCTACCCATTATATTCTCTCTATTATGTCAAAATTTATTCAGAAAACATTGGTTGTTTCAGAAGAGTATGTATCTAAATAATAAAATTGTAAAAATGGAATAAAATCACTATTTCTAATCATGTCTGGTTTTAAGCAAATTTAGTCAATGAAAGTAGATAGAATGATGTACTACTGCCATTTGTATTTTATATTTATTTGACATTAAGATTTATTTACCACAGTTCTAATCCCCTTAGGGTTCCTTGTTTTTGCTGCAGCATTATTTTCCTGCTCAAAAAAATGTCATCTGCCTGACTGTTGCCTAATGGTGTTCCAAATTCTCATCTGTCCTTAATTGATCACAGTGATGCTATATTCTACCCTACTCTACTTACCTTTCCAATCTCCTTGTCTTTTTGATTCATCCTGTGCTGTACATTATAGTCAGAGCTAATTAATTGCATATCATAATGTTCTGCTGCTTCTATGTCTTTGTGTGGGGGGATGGGGAGGTGGGGTACTGGGGATTGAACTCAGGGCCTCACACATTCTAACCAAGCACTCTACCACTGAGCTATATCCCTCCAGACCTTTTAATTTTATTTGGAGATAGGGTCTCTGTAAGTTGTCCAGGTTGGCCCCAAACTTGCAATCCTCCTGCCTCAGCCTCCATAATATCTGGGATTCCAGGTGTGTGTCATCTTGCCTGGCTCCATAACATGCTTTTGATACACTGGTGCCATGACTTGTGTTGTTCTATACCTGGGATATACTCCCAACCATTATAATTTATTGCCTCTATGACTTTATGCAAGTTCTTCTTCCATGCAGCCTTTTCATACCCACCAGAGAGAATTGATCTTCTATTTTATATTCTCTGCCCACCATTCTAGCCTTACCTGATTTCATGAATGCTTCACAGAATATCTCTTTACCTCATCTTTATCCTCAAACCATGTATAATATTTCTGGTCTTGATATTCCCATTGCATACATGCTTTGAAGACTGATTTTAGAGTTTGTGTTTGTGTATACTCATTTGTTTTAGTCTCTTTGTCCACTACTAAATTGAGAACCCTTTGGACACAGACATTATGACTTACTCATCTCTGTATTCCTAAGTGCCAGCACAGAATCTTGAATGTAGGGCAAGTGCATAATACATTTTTGATGAATGGATTTTTTTGTTGTTGTTTAGCCATAACCTATCTTTCAAGGCTGACTATCCTCTAATATGTTCTTTGTGAGTTAGCCAAGCCAAATTGTTCATTTGTTGTTTTCTGAAAGCACTCCATGATTTCTGTTATTATGCTCATGTGGATCCCTCTGCATAGTATTCAGCCTCCTTTTTTTTTCTTTGTCACCACTCCCTGGCTTTCTCTGTCACCTTGTGCCATATGATAGCATGGAGTCTGGCAGTAGTTGGCATTCAATAAATGCTGTTGAAATTCTGCCCACCATTCTAGCCCTACCTGATTTCATGAATGCTTCACGAAATATTTCTTTACCCCATCTTCATCCTCAAACCATATATAATATTTCTGGTCTTGATACTCTCATTGCATTCCTTCTGTGCCCTTTACAATGGCACTGAACTAGATGTTACTCTTACCACTTTTTTTTTTTTTTTTTTGCACGAACCAAAGTTAACCAGACTCCAAGTTTAGGCAAATTTCAGATTATTTTGGGCTCAGTGGTGTAGAGGTAGATTGAGGATCAGTGGTGAAAATCTTGGGATCAGATCATAATCCAGATCATAACAGAGTGCTAGGGAAACTGGTTCTTGTTCTGTAAAAATAAAGGAACCATTGAAAATATTTAGCAGAGGTGAGATCTGATCTGAGCCTCGTGTCAGGAAGATAATTCAAGAGTTCCTTGTCTTCTCTGCTACATTGAAAATCTTTCAAGGGCAAAGAGTGCCCTAACCATCCTTGTGTCTGCTGCAGTATCTTCATGCTCAGAGTTTGCTAAACTGAATTGAGTTCATGAGTTAATTAACTTATTAATTAACTAACTCAACAGAAATTAGCTCAAACTTGAAAATATTAGATATCTAAAAGCTCTCAGGAAAAGGAACCTAAAGGAAATTTTCCCTCTCTCTCTCCCTGCCAAAGTAGAACTTCATAAGATCACTTAAATGTTCTAATTTTGAAAAATGAGAATATAGCAGTCTACAGTTATTTTTGTCATTAATTGGTGCTAATGATTTAGTGGAAATGAGAAACCATTCCATCTTAAATGTTTTTACACTTTTGTATTTTGGGGAAAAGAATTGATTGAAATAAAATTTAAGTCCAACCAAAATAGTTGTGTAAGAATGTAAAAACTTGATAAATTGGCTAGTAAAGAGAAGCTTTCAGGAAAAAAATGGCTCTCCCTTAGCTAGGACACCTTGAAAATCCTTTCAGAAAAATGTCTCAAATTATTTACTGAGAGGTGATCAGTGAATTGGGAATAGTAATTTAATAACCTGAAAAAGAGCACTTTTAAAGATGGAATTCAGGTAGAGGTGACAGATATCTACAGGGCATTTTATTGTAGAATCTTGCCTGCTCATTGAGGTAAGAAGACACTAAGAGGATTACAAGAGGGGCTGAGGGAAGGGAGGCAAAAACCGATATTCTTGATGCATAGGTTTTAAAATTGGCTGGAGATAGAGATATCAGTGCCCAACCCCTGACTGTTCTTTTAAATCTCTTATTGACAAGTAAAACCTTTCCTACAGAGAAAAATTTGGAACATATAATCCCCATTTGTAATGTTGGAGACAGATATAACCCTGACAATTACAACCTGTTGCTCTTTTATCCATTTCACAAACAGATTTGGAAACTACTACAAATTGACGATTTGGCACATACATCTTTCAACAGCTCTCTATTATTAAATTGACAACACTTTTAGATTGACTCAGTTTAAGGGCAACAAAATTATATGTTTCCACAAAATGGATGAGACTTAAACTTCATAATAGTTAATATAAAAGAAAAAACATATCATGAAACAAATACCTGAAGGAATGCCTGGTTATGGGAAAATATGGCAGACAACATAGACTCAAGTGTTTGGAAGGTCTTCTAATTTGCCAGAATGAGAAAAAACTTACTTTGATCATATTCTTTCAGTACATTACTTAATAGACATTAGAAGGACATTAGTGATAACTTTCTGTATAGAAATAGCAAGAAAATCACCAAGTCATGATTTTAAAATTATGGTATAATTGATACAAGTTAACTTGTAAGTTCAGAATTTAAGGATACTAGCAAAATACATTTATAACTTCAAATTCAAGTATTAATCTGGAATTAGTCTTTTGTCAAAAACGAAGCTGAGAAAAGGCAAATGATTCTGCATTTTCCAATATCTTTGAAGACCATATCCTTTAGAAGTAATATTTTCTATAAGTTGTTTATATACTAGAGCAAATATAATATTTTAGTTTGAAATTTTAATTGATTACCATTAGCAAAGAACACAGGACTTTAAATAAATTTCCAAGTCCCTTTTTATTTTAATATCAATAACTGGAAATTATTTGAAGACTATACACTGAGACCTTAAGCAGGTTTTATTTTGCCTTGTTTGGTTGTATAAATATGTCTTTGACAATATTTTCTGCTTTCAAACTTTTCCAATTCTTTGCTATAGAGTTGAAAAGAATTATGAGGAAATAGCAAAGACATGAGCAAAGAGATTTTAGTAACTCTTCTTACAGTTACGTATAAAATTATTTAGGTTGGCCCTAAATACATGATCAAAAGTAAAATTTTTATAAAATTTCCATGTAATAAAGTAAGTAATTTATTCAGAGTGAAGGCTATGATCTCTGAACTTTTCCTTTTAGAACGATTTTCAGTATCTTGTACTCTGTTCCTTAGTAGATCTGCAAGAGAAAACAGTAAGTGGTCCTTTGATTATTTTGAATTTGCACAAGAATATTGAAGGCTACCCCCCCCCATCATTTCAGAAAAAAAGTTAAAGAAGAAGTTCTAACTTGTGGGATGTGAATGCATCATTGCTGTCATTGACTGTTTCTATATCAGTACAATTTAATTAGATAAGCGAAGTTATAATGATTGTTTAAAAAGCGCTATATAGGTATCCAAAATGCTATGCAAGAATTTCTTTTTTGATTCACAAAAGAACTTTTAAAGGTTTTCCCAGTTGCAGATATGATCATATATGTTTAGGTCAGACTCCACATAAGTGCTTTTGTACACATGTGCCCATACATGAATGCTTTAATTTGCTTGCACATATACACACACATACACACATTATGTTGCAAATTATCAGAAAACTTTTTCCCTTGAATTCTAATTTTCATATTTTTTAACCTCTTGTCTCTTATAAATATTTAGTGTGCAGCTAAGTTATCAGATTAAAGTAAACAGAAAGTGAAGTCTTTGCCCAAACCAAGATTTGGAAGGAAATGTCCATCTTAATTGCCAGGGCCCAGGATGTGGGGGTTGCCTTTTTCTATTTTTGTGTGGTTCAGAGGATTTTGCAGCATCCCAGCCTTGGAATGACTTCCATTTCCTTCTTCATAACCAGATTTTGAAAAATCATTTTCACTGGGCTCAGATCCACAATGGTCTTTTGCTCTGTGCCTTCTGAGAAATTTGTCTCTTTTTATATATATACAAGGCACTGAAAATGAATTTCTTGAAATGAATGTTTTAGATGCAAAAAGAGAAGAAAATACAATCACAGAAAAAAAAATTAAAGGCCATCGTCAGCTTTCAATGTACTAGAATCCCAGAAGGAACCATCTTTTTCTTCCTCTTTTCTTTTTTTAATAATGCAAAATGAAGCGGCATTAGTGGGCCTGGCTGTGTCTGCCCTATGTAGAATCACTTGGGAACTGTCCAGCAAAATATCTCTTGAAGAACAGCATGGTGTTAATACTGGGTGCCAGCCCAAGGCAGAGACAAAGGACCCCTTCGCTCTTCACCAATAAGCCAACTGTTAAAAGATTAAACCATGTTGTGGAGATAACAAGAATTTAGGCGCTGGCAGCAGGTGCTGTACAAAGAAGCAGTTGGCAGTACGGTTCTTCTGTCTGACTAATTCCAGTCAAAACAATCTTCTGCCCAGTTGCAGAGGGGAGTTGTGAGTGTGATGGAAACTTGGAGTAGGAGGTTGAGTAAGAGTGCTACTTTAAATGCTGAATCCTGTGGCGGATGGATTAGTAGAATATAGTTTATCATTGTTCAGAGACTGTGGGGGATTCCCCTCCACAATCCAGTCACTACTGGCTGACTGGAGAATATATAATCAAAGAGCTGTAAGTCAAATCTGCTTATGTGGTGGGGGTTGCTGTATCTTTCAAGTTATCATTTTCATATAGAAAAGATATTTGAGACTTTTCTCTCTTGAGTAATATCCATCTACCATTATATAACAATTACCAAATATATTAATTGTACCCTTATATTTTTGCTTCATCACATTTGTAAAATATTCTTTTAAATTATTATTTTTAATAATAATTTAAATTTTTAAAATAATTTGTGTATTTTAAAAATAATTATTACTCAACAGATATCTAATGTTATCACAAATATAGAAAGGACTTTTAGTATTGGAATATAATTTTAACTGTTATTGAAGCAATGTCATTTATTGGGTTTAAGACATAAATTGGTATGGTCCTATAACCTACACAAAGAAATATTGGTGCTTAGAAAGTGATTACTCAGGATAAGTAATCATGTAATTTAGGATATAAAGTTCATTAAGCATAAAGTAGTAGAATTCCTATAGGTGACATGAGTGGCTGATAATTTGACAATTAAGTCTAAGTGAGAAACACCAGAAAGGACACAATACCTTTGACATTTGTAATCTGATAAGCAGCATGGGTTGTGTGATCTGACAATGAACATAGGAGATGTGTATGTGATGTCTCCCCCACTAGTTCCCTCCTGTTCATTCCCACTACTATCTCTGAAGTTTCAGCTTATATCTTTTTATCTCAGGAGATATGTATGGACTTCCAATTGTTTTCTTTGCCTTAGATGTCTCTTTTCTATCCTTGTCAGATGGTTTTACCTAATTTGTTGTAATCTAGTCCCCCTGCTTCCTATTATTGACCCACTCCATATCCTTATACTTGGCATTTTATAGTTTGGCCATATTTACCTTTTAAGCCTGCCCAAAGCTTTCTAAAACATATTGATTAAACTTCCTTGCCTTTACTTGTAATTCTGGTTGTTATTCATTATTCCTGTCATTTTCTCTCCTTTCTTCAAGCCCTATTTCACATCTTACCTCTTTCAAGATGCTCCACTATTTGGTTCTTCCAGAAGAAAGGAACCTATTGTTTTTTTACATGATAAAAACACTATTCAATGATTTGTATGGAGTTTAACATGAACTTGTATGTGCATGTGAGGAAAAGAGAGAGTAGAGAGAGAGAGGAAGAGAAAGAAGGAATTTGTTTCTGTTATAAGTTTCTTTAGGGCAAGAAAAATGCTTTATAGTATCCTATGCCATATAGTCAATGAATATTGATTGACTTGAATTAAAAAGACTGATCACTACTTTTTAGAAAAAGAACTTCTCATTCAGCATACATATTGTTCTAGAATAACTTATTTTTGATAATGTGTTGAGGAGGGTTGAGTTTTAGACTGTGGGTTTAAAATTCATGCTGTTCTCATGACGCAGGTGGATCCCAATATTGTCCTTCATGCATCTGTTTCCATTGGAAAGCGGAGTTTCTCAAGTAGTGAAGTGAGCAGCAGGAGTCAGATAGCTCCATCAACCCTGTGGCCTGCAGCCAGTGTGTGGCTGATCACCAAGGTGCCTAAGAATGTCTGCTCTTGCTAAGTGACTTTCCCTTGCTTGCTGGCTCCTTGTGCTGCTTCAGTTCCCAGTACCCTGTTGCACATGAATGTGTAAATGAAAACGTGGTAAACTGTTGACTGTTAAGATTGCTTTCTCTGCTCTTGGTCTTATCTAGCTCAAAAGACTTTTGTGGATCCCCAAGAGAGCATTCAATTCAGTGTTAGATATGCTGAGTAACTCACACCTCAGAATATACTTAAAACAAGCATAGAACTTATTTATAGTCCGCAGACTTGCCCTTTTCATGAAATTTGCAAGTCATTTGCTTCCACTTCTTAGTCTTCTCAAGCTTTACCTTCTCAGTATCATTGGATCTGATGGATTAACACCGCATTATGACTTTGCATATAGTCTTAGCAAGGGCATAGTTTAAAAAAACCCAGAGTATCAAATGTGAAAAATACCCATCATACTTTAACCTGCATATTGGCAATGCTTAATTTTAAAATTTTATTATTGCATAATTGAATCTGACTTACATGACAACATGTAATTGCCATCACCTACCTTCTTAATATTGATATATGTTTTGTAAACATGCATTTCTGGCTGGAAAGAGATGGTGCAGTTTATATCTGTCCTTCTCCTACTCCCTTTGCCACCCCGGATAGACTGTGTTACTGCTGCTTAAACACTTCTGTGAATGCAAAATCACCCAGTCAAGTTTGCTGCTAGTTAGTTTTGAGGGGAGGAAGAGTTGAAACGATTTTATCAAATGAAATCTTATATTTACCCTTACTTATTGTTCTTTGATTCTCTGAGAGTTAAAAATGAACACATAGAATAATAAAGCTACTAATGTACTAATACATGTTATTTATTTCATATACTAAAGAAGAGCAAGGCTAGATGAGGTATTCCTAACATCTGCTTCTGAACTGGAGACTGTCTTTATTATTAGTCCTTTTTACACTGTATTTTGTTTCTAATTTAATAATAAGGGCTACCATTTTGTTGAACATCTCCCATATGTCAGGCATTGTTAGGCACCTTATATACATTTATCACATCATCTTACAAGAACTGTGTAGATTTTCACTATCAGCTGAAGAAGCAGAAGTTAGTAAGTAGCAAAGGAAGGTTTTCTGTGTCTGCCTGACTTCAGCTCTCAGGCCTTCTCACCATCATAGAGACACTGCTGTATATTCCACCAATCTATGAATGCCATGGTGTCTTAGCCTCAGCACTGCCACTGAATGAATAGCTGTACAACAGCAGGCAAATCACACACAGTATCAGGGCCTTAGCCAGCTCATCAGAAAAGAGCTAGACCAGAGGACATAGGAGATTTTTTTTTTAAATTCTCATATTTATTATAATTTTATGGTATCACTTTGTAGAATTTTATGACATAATAAACCCATGCTATCTAAAATTTCCCCCCAAAATAACTAAAATGCCTACTAAAGAGTATGGTTTTAGAGTAAGAAAGGTTGGAATTGGAATCCCTTTGTGATCTTGGGAAAGTTACTTAGCTGCACTGAACCATCATTTCTTTATTTATAAAATGGAATTAGTCATAACTGCCTCCACAGTTGCTGTGAAGTTGAAATTAGAAAGCAGGTGTGAAGTTCAAGTATAATATCTAGCACATAGGAGGTGCTTAATAAATAGTGACTTTCTTTTCTCACCTCAGTCTTTTTATTTTATATATATATATATATTATAAAAATGTGTACTAGAACCAAACTGTTTTAGAAATATATTTCTCTGGTTTTCATGTGTTTTATATATAGCTAAAACATAAGAAATAAAAGTTTCACTTTTAAGAGAACACTTTTTAAATCCTTTCAGTCAGAACTCCCCCTTCCTCTTTCAAAAACAAATCCTTTCACCTGGTTAGACAGATAATTTTGTATACCGTAAATCCCTAGTAGGTGTGGATAGATTTTCTAGTGGTTGTTACTTTTTTAAAATGTGCTGATTCACTAAGTAGGAAGATGATTAAATGACCACTTAAACAATGCTTCTAATTAATTTCCTTGGCAGAGGATCCTAACATTTAAAACAAAAGAAGTTCATGAACCACCTTAAAATGTTTAACCCATGGTATTTAAACCCAGAATAAAACTTTAAATTGGTGCGAAGGTTAAGAATTTGTTCAATCTTTTCAGTTCACTGCGTTTTTTCCATGCATACATATTTCAAGTAAGCTCTGTAGTTATAACTCCAGCAAGTGACACGTGATAGACCCCAAATCGCTGCACTGTGAAATATGCACAGTAGAAAAGGACAAATGAAGATATCAAGGTCTGTTTTATTTTGCGCTGAACTGTAAAATGCCACCCTTGTCGGACAGAAGATCACTGGTTCTGAGCAGGGCTCACTGACTGCTAAGTTGTGGGTAGTGTTTCACTTTCGGCAACTGTTAATATCCGGAGCTATCCAGGCATAATGACCTCACTATTTGTGACACATTGTTGAATTTTCTGGTTCTTTTAACTTATTTAGACCTTTCTCCCCCCTCTCTATTCATTGGAAGGCTGGAATGATCCTGAGCCGAGCGATAACTCAGGGCTGCCTAGCTATTGGTCATCCAATCAGAGTCAAGGCCGCTGAGGGAGCATCACTAGAAGGATATAAATTAATCCTACAGAAAAGGTAATGCTTATGAGATATTTAGCTCAAGACAATAAATGTTAATTTCAAGAATTCTGAGCAGGCAAATTGTAATGATCCCTGACTTAGAATATTCACTAGGTGTTTCATTTGGTGTTCAAAGTATCAATGTTAGTTTTTTTCTTTTTAATCTAAAATAAGCTTGAAAATGTATGCTGCTTAGTTTGGTGGTAGTGTTTTAAAAATATTTTAAAAAGTGAAATGTTGACCTTCAACATGTATCTGTACCGTCGACAAGATACTGCTTTACTCTATAATGATCAGAACTCATTTCTTGAGATCTATCTTGATTGCTAATTAAAAAACTTAAATTTATGTGTGTGTTCTTAACTTTTTCTCCATCTTCTGAATGTGGAATACTGAACTGTAAAAGTAAAACCACAGAGACAAAACAGTTGCTGACTTTCGATAAACCACCAATGTCCTCTGCTTACTTTTGTTTTTTTGGTGGGGGTATGGGGGGAGATACAATTAAAACATATAAAAGTTGATTTAAAAATTAGCAATGAGGAATAAAGTTGGTTTATCTCTAACAGCCTGGAAATATTACTTCCTAAAAGCTTTCTTTTTTCTTGTTCATTTATTTTTTAATTTCATCAAATATTGTAAAAAATAATTCCTATGATACTTTTAGGACTTAAAAAGCTGTTCCCCAAATGCTTCTGTCTAAATAGGCAGTTAGGATGTTACCACTTAAGATGAAACCAGGACTAGTTTACTTGGGCATCAGAGAAGCTGGCCCAGCCATAAATACAGAAGGAAATTTTTTCTAACATAAAAAGCAGACTGTCCATCAGGTTTAAAAATACCACACAGTGACTATGACTGACACAGGCAGATTCCCAGGTATAAATCTTGGTAGTACTTCTTATTCCAACAACAACAACAAAATTCGGAGTTAGACACTATTCTAATTTTCTTATATTGTCACATTTAATCATCACAATTACCTGGGAAGGTAGGTATTATTATTATTAAAGATGAGGTAATTGAAGTTCAGAGAAGTTAATACCTTACTCCAGATCATGCCTGCCAGGTGGTTGGGCAGGAATGCAAACCAAGATAGTCAGATTCTGCACTCTATGTGAGTAGACTCTTAGCTAGGAAATTACACTGTCTGTAAGTTAAAGTCCAGTCAAACACTAATGTGTGCCAAGTGTGGTAGCAGATACCTCAGTGGATGAGTATAATATATCAATTGAGAAACCCAAGCAGAAGGGAAAGTCCTCATGTGAACTGTCCAGGGCTAATAGGGCTTTAGTTATATAGTTCCTGAGGAGGGGCAGACAAACCCAAAGCAAGAATCAATTTGATGTGGGGATGTATATTTGAGAAGCTAGAGGAAAGAACAAGTTTAGTAAAGATAGGGAATACTCAAAACACATTTCTAGAGAAGAAAATTATGATACATGAGGTAAAAAAAAGTATACTGAATATGACTAATGGCAGATTAGACAATGGGGAAGAAAATATTAGTGAACTTGAAAAGATAAAAACTATTCATGGTAAAATCCAGAGAGGAAAAAAGTTATTTTATAAAAGAATGGCTTATCAGTGAGATGTCAGGAAAATATATTGTCGAATTTCTGAGTATTTAGAGTCTTTGAAGGAATGAAGCAAGGAAAAGAAAATCATTTGAAGAAATACTATCTGAAAAATCGCCAAATTCTATGAGAACTGTAAACCACATAGCCAAGAGCACACCAAAGCCCAAGCACAAATAAATAAATAAGAAGAAACAAGGACAAGGCAAATCATAATAGAATTGATTACAACTGGTGATAAAGAGAAAATCACAAAGGCAGATAGAATGAAAGACATTATAGACAAGAGGAGTAAAGATAAAGGAGATTGCAGATTATTAATGGCAAAAGTGCAAGTGAGGAGACAGTGGAAGAAATCTTTAAAGTACTAAAAGGGGGAAAACCCATTATTATAGAAACCTCTTCTAGTGAAAATACCTTTAAAAAACTAAGGCAAAAGAAAAACCTCAGATACTCGCAAACTGAAAGAATTCATCACCAGTAGATCTTTACTACATCTAAGCAATGTAAAAGGAATCCTTTCAAGTAGAAGAAAAATGATGCCAAAGAGAAATAAAGAACACTGGAAAGAGTAACTACATGGGAGATATAGCAATATTATTATTATCTAAGCCTCTTTAAAACATAATTGTTTAAAGTAAATATTAATAATAATATATTGTGGAAATAATAATATGTGTAAAATGTGAAATGTGTAATGGAAATAGCACAAACGCCAATAGGAGAGAACTGAAAGAAAGATTCTTATATCCTTTGTCCACTGAAAGTAAATGTACATTTGAAGATGTATAATTACTGAAGCAACCACTAACATAGCTAATAAAGTGTTTGGCTAAGAGGCCAAAAAAGTAGATAAAAATGAAATAATAAAAATAAATCTAGAAATAGACATATGAAAATGGGAACAAACTCAGAAAGAAATTAAATAACAAAACAGTAGATTTAAACCACATTGGCATTGTAAATAAAAAATTAAATTAGATGAAAAAAGAAGACCCATTTGTTTGTACTTAGGAGAATCCCTCTTTAAATATAAAGATATAAATTGGTTAAAAGTAAATGCATAGAAAGATCTGTATAATTGTAAAACTTATCCAAAGAAAGCTAGAGCGGGTATCTTAATATCAGAAAAGCAAACTTAAGTGAATATTATCAGTGATAAATGTTCATCTTATAATGAGTAAGGTGCTAATTTATGAGAACATAACAATTCAAGTATTTGCTCACCTAATGATATGTCTTCAAAATACATGAAGTGAAAGCTGATAGAACTATAAGGAAAGGAGAAAAAGATTGAGCTTTTGTGAGCAATAACATTATCTTGTTTCAATAATTAATAGAACAAGTAGAAAAAATCTGTAAGGATCTAGAATATTGGCACAATATCAATCAACTTGACTTAACTATTATTTATGAAATAATGAAAAAACAATTGCAGAAGACATTCAAGTGGACAGACTGCATGTGAACCCAAAGTAGGTCATATTCTGACTCTGAAAAACGTCTCAGTAAATTTAACATAATTCAAGTACTACAAAGTATGTTTTTTGTCTATAATGGATAAATTTTAAAATTTTAAATTAAAAATAGCAGAATCTTTTTGGAAAAAAACAAGTATTTGATCATGAAGTAACACATTTCTAAATAAAAAATGAATCAAAGAAGATGTCAGAGTATTTTGAACTGAATGAAAATGAAAATATAACATATTAAAATTTGTAAGATGCTACTAAAGAAGTTTTCAGAGGGAAATTTATATGAATACATTTATATGAAATTTATAAGAAAAATGGGAGGTGTTGCTTAGTAATAGAATGCATTCTTAGCATACTCAGAACCTTGGTTCTATTCTCAGCACCAAAGGAGAGGCAGCCAGACATCCAAAAAAAAAAAAAAAAAATCAATGAAATTAAGATCAAAGAAATTAATAAACTTCTAGCTAGACTGTTGAGGAAGGAAAGAGGATACAAATTACCATTGTTGGGAATGAGAAAGATGATAATCAGACAGTTAAAGGTAAACCAAAGAATATTTTGAACAAGTATTTGCCAATTAATTTCTCAACTTATATGGTAAAGATCAATTTATTAAGGGGTACATTAAATAATGCCCGCGCAAGAAGAAATAGATAACCTGAATAGTTCTAACTCTTAAAGAAATTGAATGCTTAGTTGAAAACTTTTCCACAAAGAAAATTTCAGGCCCAGATGGCTTTACTATCTTCATTCTGAAATTCTACTCCAAATTTTAGGACAAATGATACTAATTCTACACAGCCTATCCAGAAAACAGAAGAAGTAATACTTCCCAACTGATTCTAGGAGGCCAGTATTACTCAGATAATAAAAACTAGACAAAGACATTATAGTAAAAGAAAAACACGGTTTGTGAAAATAAATGTTAAAAAAAAACCTTCACAAAATTTTAGAAAATTAAGTTCAACAATATATAACAACATATATGAGGTGGGTTTACACCAGGGATGCAAGAGTGGTTTACTAATAATTAACTCAAAAGTTAACTGTAAGCATTTTTTCAAAAGTATTTTGTTTTAGTTGTAGCTGGACACAGTACCTTTATTTTATTTTTATGTGGTGCTGAGGATCGAACCCAGCGCCCCGCACGTGCTAGGCGAGCGCTCTACTGCTGAGCCCAACTCCAGCCCACTGTAAGCATTTTAGATGACAACATAGGAAATGATATTATGGCTTTGTATTAGGCAAAACTCACTTCAATAAAACACCAAATATCAATTGGTAAATTGGATTTTATCAAAATTAGAATTTCTTTTCTTTAAAAGACAGTGTTAAAAAAATGAAAACATAAGCCACAGACAAATTAAAGATACTTTCAAAGCATGCAAAAGCCTCAGGAATATATGGGCAGATGAATTATTTCAACAAGTACTTCTTTTAGTTTTTTGTTAAACTGGTGCATATTAAATAAGCAGCACATTAATAAGGCTGATATACAGTTGCCATATAAAAAGATGATCAACATCATTAATATTTAGAGGAATGCAAAATAAACCTACAATGTAGTATTATTATAATCTAGTAGAATATCTAATACTTAAAAGATTGCCCATACTAAGTACTGGTGAGAATGTGGAACAAGTGGAGCTCTCATTGTGCATAGTTGGTAAAACTATGGAAAACAGTTCATATTTTCCTAAAATATGAAACATTTATCTACTTTATGACCCAACCATTCTACTCCTGGAAATTTACCCAACAAAAATGAAAATATATATTCATTCAAAGTTGTATATATATATGAATGTTCATAGAAACTTTATTTCCAAAAGCTGAAAGAACTAGAAACAACCCAAATGTCCATTCATAGGTGAATAACTAAACAAATTTTGTTCTATGTATACACTAGAATACTATCCAGCAAGTAAAAAAGGAATATGTTCTTGATACATTCAATGATAGG